TTGATCAAGTTTAAGGGGAAAAGCCTAGGGAAACCCATGATGCATGCTCAGAATCATATTGTGTGGAGTCCCCATTAATTTGAGGGTTTACTGCATTGCATGGGGAGGGAACCCCATGTGGAAGCAACCTGTAGCCAGCCATGCAGTTCTGAAACTTAGAGGACTTAGTTTTTTTGAGAAAAGGTATGGTGATTTCTGCTGATTCCTCCTCCTGCAGCCCACTGAGCCCCCTCCCACCCTGAAATGTTGTTTTTTTTGAGGGGGTCAATGGATCCTCAGGAACAGCACAAGGGGCAAACTAGAGGTCTTCAGTGGGAGTGGGAAGGGAGAATCAGCAGAAATCACAGTCTACTCTTCCAAAAACATAAGTGCCCTTAAGCCTTTGGAATATGCAAGTTGGACACAGGTCTCTGTTCTGGGAAGGATCTAAAATAACTTCTGAACTATTTAATAATCAAGGAGGTTGACAGATATCCTTCTGGGCTTTGCATCTTCAGAAATCAAGTTACTTGGCATTTGTTCTGTGTTTCTCATTAATTATCTTTATTTTGTTTGCAGCCGTTCCCAGCTTTGATTACTCAAAAGAAGACAAGATACAAGGGAGACGGAGGGAGGACCAAAAGAAAAATATAGCTGAAGTTTTTCCTTGCTAGGGAGGTTCATTTCTGACCCACAGGAATTCCATTTAAATATTGTTTTTTCCAGTAAGTGGACAAAGTGAAGAGTAGGTTAAAGGGCTTAAGCAGCTGGAAGGTGTGGTAAAACTTCTCTCCCTTGCATGGTCACAACTCATCCGAGAAACCTGTAGAAATATTTATTCCAAGCCATAGAAGCTTTCTCAGCTCTTTCTGCTTCCATACCAGCTGACATCTTTTTCAGACTTTTTGAAACAATCTTCGTTTATTTATTATGCTTAGACTACAAATGGAAAACAAACAGGCAAGAATTAAATCTGAAATTTCTCTAATTAAAGTTATTAAAATTTAGTCAAATGCCCCATGAAATAAAAGTCTTCACCTCTCTTTAAAATGCCAGTTAAGAGAAGCCCAGACAAATAGCCTTGGGGAGGATTTTCATAACTATAGCTTTTCCACCAAAAGGGCATCAAGCAGTTGGGGACACACATGGAATAGCTCCCTTGAAAGATTTTCATGCATGAAGTGGACCATGCAAAAGAAACTATTCATTCAGGTAAACAGGGCCACAGTTGTGTAGTTGTGTGATGACTAAAACTATGCCTGGAAACAAATATGCAAACAATGTAGATGGTTTGACCAGTTACAATTCTGGCCTTTTTGTATTGAACCAACTGTATTTTGAAACTATATTCTAGGACAAAGCATATTATGGAAGACCATCCAAAAGTTTACCAAGGCATGGATTACTGAGCTGAGATCCTGATCATTCATGAAGAGAGATAGCTGGCACAATAAGCGTAGCTGGGGGAAAGCCTCCCGACCATAGCCACCATCTGAGAACCCAGGATTAAGACAGGGACCAGCAGCTCCCCTAAACTGCTAACTTGCTTCTTCAGGAGAAACAGGATCTTTCACACCATTCAGTAATTCCTCAAACCAACTCGGCCTTATCTGCATTGATAAACTTTACTTGGGTCTGGCCTGTTCTGGGCATAACAATACTAAGAACAGGTTGTGTGAGCATGCTGACCATTCCTTCTTGGAGTCTGAGAGAACACTACACGGTAGTGTTGGGTCCTTAGCAGACCAAAACCCAAGAAAAATCACATTCAAAGAATGTAAAGAGTGCACGAATGTTTGACATTAAAAACAAGTGTAAGGATAGCATTGTGAGAAGACTGAGAGACAGTGCCTGGTAGAGAATCCTGGCCACATCATCAGACACCCTAACACTGTGAAACTTTATGAATGGAAGGGACATAGGTTAGAACCCACAATGTCATCATTTGACAGTTAGAAGCTGTGAAACTTTATGAATGGAAGGGACATAGGTTAGAACCCACAATGTCATCATTCGACAGTTAGAAGCACTGCACCAGGGAAGTGCAAAAAAATGAGGGGTTAAATGCCTCTGTTTGTAATATCTTTAGAAATCCAGTAGGGAAGAAGAAAGTTTAAAGCAGGGATGTTAAACATGCAGTCCAAGGGCTGGATCAGGCCCACGGAGGGCCCCAATCCAGCCCTCAAGGACCTAGCTGTTTTCTGCTTCCTTCTAGTTCTGCTGCTGCTGCCGCATCACAGCTTGCTTCACCAGTGTCTCTCAATTGCATGGGAGAGATAGATAGGCAAGCCTCTCCTGTGTGATTGAGAGAGTCTGGTAAAGATCAGGCTGAGGCTCCTCCCCCTCCTCCTCGCAGGGGGAGGGAGGGAACAGCCAGAGCTTGCTTCCTGGCCAGGCTGCAGGAGACAAAAGGAAGCCTTTTCTTCCTTCCATTAGCTGAGACTACTGCCAAACTACAGACCTTCCAGTCTGCAGCTCAGCATCTTAACCTCTGAGCCACCGCGGCCCTGGACAGCATGTACCACACCATAAATGAAACTTGTGCAGCTTGCAGAGCAATCTGTGCAGCAAAATGGCCAGGAGAAAATACAAAAGATATATAAAAACAGACTACTTTGTCAAGGGATTATGAGGGCATTCCCCAATGACAGAAAGGCCGTCAGGAAAGGAGCAAAAAGGACAGGGCATGGAATGTCCCACTGTGTGGCAAGGCCAAATAGCCCAGGCCTCCAGTCAGAGTATCTGCGCACTGTGGCATGTGTTAGTTAAGGACAACATAACTGCAATGCATTCCATGACAATGTGGAGCATTTGCACTAAAATAAAAGATAAAGGAAAGTAAGGTATGTCTAGTGCTCTAGGTGAAAGTAGTAGCATGATAAAATAATTTTGCAGAAGACCATGAGCCACTGGGAGCACATGCTCACAACAGAGTCCCCACACGACAGGGGATGCATCTGAGAAGGCACTAACTTCAAGAGACTCGGAGCCAAAAGGAGTGCTCTAAGAAAAATGCAGTGCTGAGACCATCAGAATGATGCACATTAGCTCTGTCTTGGAAAGACAGAAAAACAAACCTGGGCATTCCCTGAAGAGTGAAATATATACCAGATACCAAATTCTGTCACCGTGTCACATACAGGTATGTAAAAATGAAAGAAACTGCTGCCGCGGAAGCCAAAAAAGCCGCCAGGGAAGGGGAGGAATTGCTTCATGAAAACATAATAGAAGCCAATGTTGCATCAGGTCAATGGCCCATCTAGTCCAACACTCTGTCACACAGTGGCCAAAAATACCAGGTGCCATCAGGAGGTCCACCAGTGGGGCCAGGACACTAGAAGCCCTCCCACTGTTCCCCCTCGCCGCCCCAGTGAGACAATGTCTGTCAGGCCACACTACCAGGCTTCTGGCTCAGAACCGAGGGCAGCTAGGGAGGAGGAGGGGTTCCTTCAGCCAGGATGGCTGCAGCCAAAGCCTTAGAAAAGAGACATTCTGAATCCAAAGCTCTATCAGGTACAACCTCCAGGTTTCTCCCCCCATAACAGACACAGCAAAGGAGGGGGGACATGCCTTTATTCAGGCCTTTGAAAAGAACCAGTGAATTCGAGGCTGTGTCAGACCACATCTTGCTGGGGAGGAGGAAGGTATCTTTATTCAGGCAATGTACAGCCAAAACCTTTGAAAAAGAGTGATGTATCTAGCTCCATCAAATCATGCCTTCAGGATAAATTGGGAAGAGCAGAAAGCTCAGTTGTGTGAGCCCTAGAGTTGACAGGCTTTTGCAGGCCCCTTTCTGCTGCCAGCCAACTGGCTGATGAGGGGAAACCCCACTTGCAAATGCCCCCAAACGCAACACAATGACGTCCCCCAGAAGATCCCGGGACAGACCCTGGAGGGCCCCCCCCCCCACCGACAGCCAAGTAGGGCATGGCTACCTTAGTGAGCCCTCAGGCAGATAAGGCACAGAGAATGAACATTTATGAGCACCATTTTAAAGCCATGGTCAGCACAATCCTGAGAAGACCCCTTTTGAGCCCTAATAACAAAGTGAAAAGCCAGAAAGTCTTCTTTAAATGTAGTGCATTCCTCACTAGAATTACAGCCTCAAGAATTAGGAAAAAATAAAGAACAGCAATGGAGATCCTCTCTTTACAGTGGCAAAAAAGAGAACTAAGGGAGTAGAGCCCCTCCTCCTGGTCATGTGATGGTTTTGGCAGGAAAGCACCAGAGGGAGGGAGGGCACTCCTAGACTATAAGAAAGCTTTGGAAATCTTTTCTGCAGGTGGCCTGAGCACACGCAGTCCCAATGTGGGACTGCAGAGAAGCCATGACGATGAAGTTAAATGAATTTACATAATCCTGGGACTCAACTACATGTGCATCATTTCTTCAGCATTTTCTATTTATAATCAAATGTGCGTTTTGAGGCTGCACATTTCAGCAAAGAAACTGTGAAGGAGAGAGGTTGCAAAGGGTCAAGAGACAATCTTGTGGATCTTACATGAGAGTGTAAAGCAAAAGGAGGACATGATCCCAGCTTTCTCAGCCTGCAGAGGAAGAGGAAGAGAAAGAGAGGCAAAGAGAAGGTGCCCCCAATGTGAATGACTGCTTGTTTCAGTGTGGGCACCTTCCATCACTGAAACATTTCTCCACTGGGATGCAACTTAAAAAGAAACACCCAAGCCCCCTTTTGGGGTTGGTGGGTGGGTTGTGTAGGAAGTCACCAATGCAAAAAACTTTGTTCAGATTAAGAGTACAGGCTTTTTTGAGAATACATTTCACTTGGGGGGGGGAGTGTGGGTGAAACCAGTTTTATTGGGAAAAGGGGAGAAAACGGGAGATATGAGACAGTGGTGGGATGTTAACGAAGTTGTCTGAACACAAGAAAAAAATACACTAACATCAGGTAATGCGAGTAGGTTTTTAAGGCTATGGAATGTACAGTTTGTCATACACAGAATCTATACATACTATATCATAATTTTACTCCAGCTAAGACTTTTTTTTACTAAAGGACTTACAGTGCTTTCCTCTTTCCCGTTGTGGTGAGAAGCAGACTCTGGTGGTATTGTCACTTTCAGTTTTGTTATGGAATTGTGAACATGCAAGGAACTCTGGCCATGAAGAATTCACCATCCCAAGAACTGGTTCACATCCTTCCTTTGCAGCCTCGCAAAATGATCTACAGGGCAGAATTCCATAACTGGAAAGAATAAAAAGACATTCCAAAGATTACTGTCCCGGCAGCGTGAAAAAATCGTATCTACATTTGCTTCAATTAAAGGCAAAAGGTGGGGGAGGGGAGTTCTTTTTAAATGAAGCAAATTCCTGACGTTATAGAACTCAGACTTCGGATTTTGTTACGTATATTGGTCTCGGTTGGCAAGTGTCAATCAATAATCCCCCCCCCCCCAAGCACATCTCATTTAATTATCTCACCCAACCATCCATGACCATGAGAGACAATCTATTTCACCTACTGCACAGATACAAAAGTGGCTTGCAAGTCAAGGAAGAAATGAAAGTGAAATATATCCACTGTGCACCCACCAAACTGAAGACAGTGTCAAGGCAAAGACATACAAGGCTTGGCTCAAGGCTGCTGAAGGTGGTATGTCTGCCTGCCAAACCTGTTTGTCATAAAGTTTACAGCATCCCTGGTTGTGGGATGATGATCAAATAGCGCGACCAAACATTTCAAATGCAGTAAGATAATAGATCTGTTCCATATTACCTCTAAAAATGGTGGAGCTAATGGATCTGATCCTCACCCACCATAACGGAATGCAAATACTTGTGGACAGACTTGCGAGTGTCTCAAAAGCCAAAATCATTACCAGGTGAATTAATGTACCCTATACTATACTACTGCAGGCTGTGGAAGGTCGGTAGTTTAGCAGTTCAAGACCCGAGTTGCCACATGATGCAGTGAGCTCCAGTCTCTAGTTCCAGCTCCTGCCAACCTAGCAGTTCTAAAGTAAGAAATTGCAAGTAGATAAATAGGTACCACTTCGGTGGGAAGGTAACAGAGTTCTGTGCGCCTTGGTGTTTAGTCATGCCGGCCACATGACCACGGAAACGTCTTCGGACAGCGCTGGCTCTTCGGCTTTGAAACGGAGATGAGCACTGCAACCCTAGAGTCGGATTTGACTGGCTTCTGAGCAAGGGAACCTTTACCTTTATACTACTATGAAGCTGTTTTCAAAATAGAATGAAAGAGACTGAAAGAAAATTGCCACCTCTTGTGGCATACTGGTAGAACAACTCCCAGAGGCTCTCTAGGGTCCAATCTGCATTGGTCTTTCCCGCCGCTGTGCCAACGGATCTCACATCGTCTCACAAATTTCTGTCTGCATTTCATGCCGCATCCGCTCGCCTACTGTTTCATCTCAGCATCGGTTGTCTGCCATTTAGTGCCATTTAGTGGCACAGTCGAGGACATTACAGTGACCCACCATGTTACCTGGATTTGGTTTTAAAGTGGCTCAATTGCTCCTCCCCACCCTCAAGCTGCTGTGAGTGATAAACAGACAACTGGAGCCGAATTCTCCCCCCCCCCATCTTTTCTAAGGAGATACACAAATTGTCACAAAGGGAACTAGCTAGCTGAAAATCTAGTTGTCTGCATTTAAAAGCAGCCAGGGAACATTTTTCTGCAATTATATTTTTGGGGGGGAGGGGTTGGAAGCACACCCACCCTTGAACCATTTGTTATTTCTTGGGGCAGTCCCCAGAAGGCCCCGCCTAGCAATCACCGGGTGTTTTGTGTTTTTTACCCAGCTCGTTCCATCTTTCCTGCCCCACCTCTGCCTCACCCTCCACCAGGTCACCCCCCCTTTGCTTTCTGGGGGGGTTGCAGGTGCCATTTCCTCCCCACAGTGCAGCGCCCTGCCAGCACTCCAGGGAGGCCGCTCCTCCCCCCTCTCGCACACTCTCCCTCTGTCCTGATGTAGATGGCGAGCTTTTTATACTGAGCCAAATGGAAGGCAAAGGAAGCTGGCGCCACAGCAGAATGAAACAGCTTTACATAACAAATGTAGATTGGGCCTAGAAAGGAGAGGCTCAGGTCTTGTGACCATAACTAAAGAAGGAGTTAAGAGTATTGAGGTCTAGTTGTGGCCTGTTCAGTTAGTTGGCTGTTGTTGGCTATTACCTCCAGTGCTGATCCTGTCCCTTCCTAAAGACATACCGTATTTTTTGGACCATAAGACGCACTTTTTCTTCCAAAAAAAGTGAGGGGAAAAGTGTGTGCGTCTTATGGACCGAATACTGAGCCCCAGGGTTCAGAATATTTTTTTCCCTGTTTTCCTCCTCTAAAAACTAGGTGCGTCTTATGGTCAGGTGCGTCTTATGGTCCAAAAAATACGGTAATACCTGTTTGGCTTGCCCAGTTCCCTTGAGTTCTCCTTTCTAGTAGGTTCTGCCCTGCACTTGCACATTGACAGGCGCAAACGTATTCCAAGTTCTCTCACTTTCCAAAAATATATTCTAACCCAAAAAGGGAAAGGGTTCTTGAGTTACTTGCTCAAAAGAGGTGTGAATGGATCAGATAACAGGACCAACTGGTAAGGGTGTGCAAAAAATAGTGGATTTCGAGTAGAGTCAGATGTTTAAAAGCCAAATGAAATCTTTCTAAATTTCAGGCAGATAGAAGACAGCTTTGTTCTATAAGCAGTTACAAATTTTCACTTGTGGGGGGGGTGAAGGCAGGAGTGAATTAGCACAAGTCAGTTTTCGCCTTCTGTCTCAGATCTTCAAGCTGCAAGTTGGAAAGGAGAGGTCTATTTTTACAAAAATAGAGCACATGGGCAAGGAGACTTACTGTCCTCCTCTGTGCCATACCTCGCTTTGCTTAATTTATTTCAGTATTTTTCTCACAGCTCAGCTGACTTCTTGTACTGGAGCCTAACCAGAGGAAATATGTTTCAAGAATCAGAGGAAGATGCTGGATGAAGTAGGCTTTAGTTTCCCTAATTCATGCATCCTGGTTTTACTTAAAAGTAGAATCCCACTCCCTGCTTTCTTTAAAAATGAATGGGAGGAGTTGCTTGCCCTTCCTACCTGGGCTAATAGCTAAAAAGAGGCAATCCCTTTTGCATGTAAATCAGGCATGGATACTCAGATTCCTGCTCTCAGGTCTGTACCTCAGAGATGGGTGTGCTCAAAACTACATCCATTTGTTAATGATTCGATAGAGGAATGAGAGCAACTGCTTTCAGAATAAGGGAGTTCATGCAGTCTATACTTCCAGCTAACTTAGGAGGACTCCACCTCATGAGAGCAAACCAACTCACACAAATATTGGGCAGATGTATACATTCCATTGTAATGTATACAATAAATATACGGTGGGAGGTGCAGTTGATTGGAATTAAAGACACAGAGAAATTTCAGATCCTGAATCAGCAGAACTCTCTGTCACAGAGAGAGGATCTGATCCTTCATTGTCACTGATCTTTTGAATCTCATCTGACTGATTGATCGATTTATCTATTAAAACATTTATAGTCCACCTTTCCTCTTGGTTCAAGGTGGCTTACAATAATAAGCTGGTGATCTGGTGTGTATGTGTTTACTCTTGGAGAGGTAAAGCCTTAATCTTTGCCTGTAGCCACATAATACATAAGTACATTAAATAAATCAGTATACCAACAAAACAAAACAAATATCCACCAGATACTGAGGCATCAGCATAACTATCAGTCCCAAAGGGTTTCTACTTGCTTCCAAAGGTTGGAGATAAAATTGATTGAATTAGGAACCTTTCCAATATTTCTGTATCAGATCTATTTCAGGTCAAATCCTCCTTGGTAAACTTCTGGCAGCACATCCCTATTAATTAACAGGACAGCATGCAGGCAACCGCAATCCTTACCAGTATGAGAAGCTACAAGTCTTAAATTTCTTTCCCATCTGTCACCAGCCATAGGCCTTTAACATGACACTGAAGCATTCTGCTTTTTATCATATCACAAAATAGTAATGAAACACTATTTTAGAAAGCAAGAGCTTTCTTTCCAACTTACAATAAGCTGCCAAGTGAAGATAAATGTGTGAGGTGTCATGTTTAGAATTAGTTCCAGTATCTTTATCTCTCCATTATAGTGATAATTTCACCACTGTTTTGTGTAAAGGACATTTAACACTATGGAAGAACCGTTTCAACCAATTGCAAAAAATCTCTCTGAAGATAATGATATTTCAACATGTCATGATGTACAAATATCTTTTATAGTATGACCAGGGGTCGTTTCGTGGAAAAAGAGCTAGGGGAACTCATTAGCATAACTCATTAGCATATGCCACACACCCTGGCATCACTGGAAGTGTGTCATAAGGCCACACACCCCGTCCCCAACGGTCCCGGCTGCCGCCGCCGGCCTTGCAGCTCCACTGCCAAGCCCCATGAGGGGCCCGGCGGTGGACCTGCAAGGCCGGCGGGAGTGCGAGGAAGCCCCACGAAGGCCCTCCCTGACCCCAGGCAGGCAGGGGTGGGGAGCAACTTACCCTCCCTCTTCTCCTGCCTCCTCCTGGCTGAATGAGGGCTGGAAGCGGGGCGGCCGGAAGCAGGGGGTGGGGCTTCGTCATGTGCCCCGCCCCCCCATACCTCACCTGGGGGAACTGCGATCCCCCGCGATCCCCCCGAAATGACCTCTGAGTATGACCACCACCTATAACAATTGTTCTCAAGTCCTGGAAATCACCATCAACTGTTGGAATAACTATGATGCTATAGTCCAAAATACAAAAAGATTTGAAGTACTATAGTACTTTAGAGACTGATTGTTGCCAGTAATACTCTTTAGGGATTAAAAAAATAGTAAAACTAAGTCTCTATGGAAGAAAATTAGTGGAGACAAATTGGACTTTGTAAATATTATAGTTATAGATTTTGCAAGCAATAAAATGCAAATATTAAAACAGTGGGAATATACAGAGATCACTGGGGAAGCAGGAGCTCTTCATTATCCCTGGATGGTCTGTCTTCAATCTTGGATGCAGCATATTTAAACAGAACGGGACAATTACACTAATTTTTTTCCACACAAAATTTATTATTTGGTTTAACAATAGTTGTTTTCCTTTGCTTGGTGTGGCACTAGCGCTGCTTCCATACTTCACAGCCCTACAATAGCACCTTGTAGCAAAATAAAGGCTCCATAAAAATAGCTGTACCTTCATTCATTCATAGGTGGGGCAGTT